CCCTCTCTCTCCTTGAAAAAAAATCTCATTAGAGTCTGTGATTCATCACTATTGGCCTAAACACGGGCTGTTATGAGCTAACGAGACATAACGGCCTGCATAAACACATTAATGAGGCGTTTGTTCCTTAAGAGAGAGAGAGAGAGAGAGAGAGAGAGAGAGAGAGAGAGAGAGAGAGAGAGAGAGAGAGGGAGAGAGGGAGAGAGAGAGAGAGAGAGAGAGAGAGAGAGAGAGAGAGAGAGAGAGAGAGAGAGAGAGAGAGAGAGAGAGAGAGAGAGAGAGAGGGAGAGAGAGAGAGGGAGAGAGAGGAGAGAGGAGAGAGAGAGAGAGAGAGAGAGAGAGAGAGAGAGAGAGAGAGAGAGAGAGAGAGAGAGAGAGAGAGAGAGAGAAGTGAAGGATAAAGAGATCAGAGATGGGGGAGAATAAAAGGAGAGGAGAGAAGGGAACGAAGAAGTGAAGAAGAGAGGGGGAAGAGAAAAAAGAGAAAAGTGATGGAAGGAGAGGAAAAAGAAACAAAATGAGAGGAAGGGCGAGGGAAAAGAGAGAAAGTAAGGAAGAAGAGAAAGAAGGAAATAAAATAAAAGAGGAGGTAAGGAGAAAGTGAAGGCATGGGAAAAAATGAAAAGAAGAGAAGGAAGAAAGAAACACAGAAAAAAAAGAGAAAAGGGGAGGAGAGAAGAGGCAATAAAGGAGGGTAGGCAAGGAAGAATAAGTCCAAGAAGAGAGAAAAGACAGAAGGGAGGGAGAAAGAGGAAGAAAAGGGAGAGGAAAAAAAAGAGGAAGGAAGAAGGAGGAGGCAAGAAAAGAACAAGAAAAAAACACGAGAAGGAAGGAAGGAGGAAGAAAGAAGAAAAGAAAAAAAACAGAAAAAAGTAAAAGAGGAGGACGCAGAGAGCTGAAGGAGCGAAGAATAGACGAGAGAAGGGAGGAGAAGGAGGAAGGGAAGAAGGATTTAAAAAAAAGGCGGAGGATGAGGAGGGAGAAAAATGAAAATTAAAAAGAAGAGAAAATTAAAACGGAAAAGAGGAGGAGGAAGACGAACCATGCGAGAGAAAAGAGACGAAAAGAGAAAATGAAAACAGCGGATTAAAAAAGAAGGAAAGAGAAATGAGAAAAAATGAAAAGAAGAGAAGGAAGAAAGAAACACAGAAAAAAAAGAGAAAAGGGAGGAGAGAAGAGGCAATAAAGGAGGGTAGGCAAGGAAGAATAAGTCCAAGAAGAGAGAAAGACAGAAGGGAGGGAGAAAGAGGAAGAAAAGGGAGAGGAAAAAAAAGAGGAAGGAAGAAGGAGGAGGCAAGAAAAGAACAAGAAAAAAACAAGAGAAGGAAGGAAGGAGGAAGAAAGAAGAAAAGAAAAAAAACAGAAAAAAATAAAAGAGGAGGACGCAGAGAGCTGAAGAACGAAGAAGAACTGAGAGAAAGGGAGGAGAAGGAGGAAGGGAAGAAGGATTTAAAAAAAAGGCGGAGGATGAGGAGGGAGAAAAATGAAATAAAAAAGAAGAGAAAATTAAAACGGGAAAGAGGGAGGAGGAAGACGAACCATGCGAGAGAAAAGAGACGAAAAGAGAAAATGAAAACAGCGGATTAAAAAAGAAGGAAAGAGAAATGAGAAAAAATGAAAAGAGAATTGGGGAAATAGGAACTGGAGGAGAGAAAGAGAGCAGAAACAATGCAGAGGAATGGAGAAAAAGAGAGAGGAAAAAATTCAAGGTTAGAAGGAAGTGGAAAGAAAAGCCCGGAGAAGAAAAAAAGAGGAAGAAGGAAGAGCGGGGGGGAGGGGGAGGGGAAAGGGGAGAGAAGGGAAGGGAAGGGAGGGACGGAGGTGGGAGGGGGAGGGAGGAGGAGGGAGGAGGAGAGGGGGGGACGAATTAGATTGGATTTTACTTTCCCTTCATTTCATTGGCGAGTCACGGGCTGAAATCAAATGTGTATGGGCGTGGAGAGGGAGAGAGAGAGAGAGAGAGAGAGAGAGAGAGAGAGAGAGAGAGAGAGAGAGAGAGAGAGAGAGAGAGAGAGGGAGAGAAAGAGAGAGAGAGAGAGAGAGAGAGAGAGAGAGAGAGAGAGAGAGAGAGAGAGAGAGAGAGAGAGAGAGAGAGAGAGAGAGAGAGAGAGAGAGAGACAGAGCAAAAATGCAATATACAGACTCAAAGAACGCAATATATTGGACATACACCAATTCATGCAGCTTCCCCTACCCTCCTCCTCCTCTTCCTCATCTTCCCTCCCTCCCTCCCTCCCTCCACCCCCTCCCACCCACCCCTTACCCTCCTCCTCTTCCTCCTCTTCCCTCCCCCCCTCCCCCCCACCCCTTACCCTCCTTTCTCCAGAAGCCGTCACGCTTCTCGATCTTTTTACCTCGACCATCAATATATCTTAATCAGGTTGCAACATTGCCATTAATCCTTTCTTTACGACTTCTCCAGGATCGCCCCTCCCCCTCCCCTCCCCCCTCTCTTCCCCTCCCTCTCCCTCTCCCCCCTCCACCTCCCCTCTCCCTCCCA